ACCCATTCTAGCCGACATTTTCCTTGCGAAACTAGAAAATGGGCCTTTGAAAGATGTTATCGAGGAACTTGAATTCTATTGTCGGTAAATGGATGATATATTTTTGATTGTAAAAAATAAGGAGGAAGTAAAAAACATCTCGGATAAATTAAAGGAGGTTCAACCTGCAATAAATTTTACTAGTGAGAAAGAAAAAGACCCTAGTATTTAATTTCTAGACGTTCGTATAACCAGAAAAGAAGTTGACACAACAAGAGGAAGTTTGCATAGAAAAAGTACATCAACGGGTCAGTATACTCATTTTTTAGATGTGTGACCTTAAAATACAAACTCAGTCTGATTATCGCTTGGTTCACAGAGCAAGAGAAATCTGCTCTGAGGAACTTATTAATATTAAACGGTTGCTGAATGAAAACAGTTATCCAGAAACGTTAATTGATAAGAATATGAATCTAAAATCAAAGTAGCCCAAGGTACCACCAGTTCCTTAAAGAGCCTTATTCTTACAAATGCAGTTCCTTCGAGACGACATCAGCGAGATACTAACACAGTGCCTTATAAATGCGGTGAAAAAGAGCATTCCCTGCTACCGAATTACTCTGTATCTTCAAAACCATTCCTCTTCTGCGTTCGGGAGTAAAAGACAAATTGCCTAATTTCGCCTCTTCCATGTGTATCTACCAATTGAACTGCTCCTGTGGAGTAAACCCATTAGTTGCATAGGTCGTACAATTAGGTGTATTCCTCGTCGGATTTCCGAACAACACCTTGTATATTGACTAAGTAAAGAACAAACAAAATCTATCTCATCTTGTGGATGCAGAATAAGAGATTGATGCTAACGAGGCGGCTTTCAAAGTCATTTACCACATAACAACAAATCTTAGCTTCACCTTAGGAGTTTGATTACTAAATATTGCTGAGACTGGCTGTTAGGATCCATACTAAAAGCCTAATTTGTGCGTCCAAAAGAAGCTAGTTCAGACATTTTACTTACTGCTTGGCCATCTAGGTTTGAATGATCCTCAATTTTTGTGGACATCTTCCTAATTTTAGTTGGTATTCTATGTGCTATTATTATATTTTTATAAATATTATTATAATTCAAGCATCTTTAATGAACTACAATTCCACTGGTGTTACTTAACAAATTTATTTTGTTTAAAAACACTAATATTGTTATTGACTACTATTCTAGAATATACTATGTATATAAACGTGCATATATAATTGTAGAGAGAAAAGAGGAGGCTGGCTGCAAAGAGGAGGTGGAGGCAACGTTTCGATCAGAAGTATTATAGCTGAACATCTGATCAAAACCTTCTACAGCATCTCAACTGACTCATCATTCAAAGTCGTTTACAAAGTAAACAGAAACCTACCAAAGGTCTTGTGTTTTTATGACTTCTTTATACTGCAGAATCAAGCCTTCACAATATGCATCAAAAAGCTGGAGTTGTATGTTACAAAAAAGGAATCTAGTCCAACCTTTACAAAACTACCATGGGCCTAGTTCGGTATGTTGCCTTAGCCTTTGGGATTTTTGTCCACTGTGGGTGTGTTTGTGTGATTTTTCTCTCTTTGTCTTCATTGAATTCATCCCATTTTTCCACTTATAAGAACAGTTATTTTAAGTTTGTTTCCATGCTCTTCGGGCTCACATTTGTAATTCGTTTAGAATAACTATTTTTTACAATTATATTCTAATCCTGTGTAATTTTGTTTCTAAGCCTCCCGTAATCTATACCAAGTTGAAAATAACCGTCACCTTTTATTCGCCTTCGTAATTATAAGGAATCAAATGCAATGGTTGCATCTATGTAGATCTATACATTTCAATGCGATTGTAGAGCTACTTTTGAAAATAAAAGCCGCCGAAAAGACAGTTATGTCTGCTGCAATTCGTGTTCTCTTCTTTTTTCATAGACTAATATGGCAAGGATCCCCCTATTCAGACATTTTGGGGGAGAAATGAAAGTTTGAGCAAGCTATACTATTCTCATCGATCAATTCCTTATCAGGCTGTATAATTTTTATATGTATTTATATAAAATATTATAGAATAGTGGTCATTTATAATATTGATCTGTTCTTTTTGAAATAATACTGACTTGTTCAGACCAGTGGAATTTTTTATTTATGACCTCAATATTAATCAATACTTGATGATTAAATAAAGTCATCACCTATAGACATTCATTGACAAGAATATGAATTTGAAAGCAAGACAATGCAAAGTACTAACAAACCCAGAAAATTCCTTATTCTTTCAACGTCATTCCCTGAATGATAATACTAGTGAAAAAGGCAGATAACGCTAAAGGAATATTGTAGGGAAAAGAACATTTAATGCTGCTGAAGTACACTGTCTCTTGAAAACCTTTCGTACTTTTTTACATTTTAGAATTAAAGATAAACCGCTTGATTCTTACGCTTTATATGCGTATGCATCAGTTTGACGAGTCCTTTGCAGCCAGTTACATAAGTCATAAAGTAAGAGGTGTGTTTATAGTCGGAGTTTTGAACACCGTCTTACGTGTGTTTAATCAAGCGACGATCGAAACCCACTGTTAGCTTTATTCTATTTTATTTTGTGAATATAGAACACAAAACTGATGTTAACGAGGTGGCTTTCAAAGTCATCTACCACGCATACCAACCAACTAATCTTAACTTTACCTTGTGAGAGTTTGTCTTTTGCATATTACTAAGGCTGGCTGTTAATATCTACATTAAGAAACCTAACTTAGGTATCCAAAAGAAGTTGGTTGGTTCAGACGATATTCTTACCCTCCCTAACCATCAAGGTTTAAATGGACCTCAGTTTGTTTTGGAAATTTCCTTAATTTTATCTGATATTTTCTTTGCTATTATTATTGCCTCGTGAATTATCAATAAGAAACTCTGGCTTGGAACTAACCAACCAACCAATCAACGGAGAACCGATAGCTCAACAAATATACAAGAGAAAATGGAGATTGATTGGGCCGAGTATACTTTGAGGGGGCGGTTTACGGACATCTCTTACAATGCAGACCACTGTTCATGTGGAAGATGAGTGTCAAGCAACGAGATAGTCGCCCAAGGTTGACGTAGAGAAGGTGTTTCGAGGAGGCAATTAGCGGCGCAGGTAAGGAGGAGAGCAGCAAAACAGAACAAACTGTATCTATGTTCCACTCGGAACCCAAGGAAACAATAACAATACTAATGTTAAGTGCAGAAGATTTACAAACTGATTCCGAAGAGATGAATGTCTTTCTCTCTGACCTTTGTGATCCCGGCTTTGACATCTTTATCCATGACACCGCCCGTAGTTAAAACTATGATGCCTAGATATATGAAGGAAAAGTACCCTCCCCGTTACAATTTAATTCTTTGATGCTTGTTGTTGATAACGGCAGGGTCACGGGGTAACTTCATCACCTCCGTCTTTTTTATGTAAACTTGAAGTCCTGTGATAATACCTCAGGCTGTGTATTTCTGTTCTCTGATCTTTTTTTCAGACTTCCGATATCATTTTATTTTCTATGAAGATGTTTATTTTAACCTTCGACGCAAAGCAGTTAAGGCAAGCTGGTGTCAATCAGGCCATCGCTCCAGTGGGACACCAATGAGAAATGACGAGTGGGTCGTCACAGTGAGAAGATGAGAGATTACGGGCGACCACAGACCCAGTTGAAGAGAACAGTATAGAACAGGACAAAATTTGGGATGTGTGCTTGAAGCTCTATGTTCTGCTCGGCACCCAAGGGAATAATAACATTATATATATATATATATATATATATATATATATATATATATATATATATGTAGAGCCGGAATAGAAATCTGTCAAAAAATATCATTTTCTTGGGATTTCTACAGCCCAATGGTATAAAGTATTTTGTAAAGCCGATGTTCTACTGTTTTATAGAAAAATAAAATTTGAATTTTCATCGGCCACCGACGGTACAAAAAAAATTTAGTGAAGACCCTTAGCTACAGGGTTAGTTAGAGCTATATGCTCAGAAGAAGTAATTCAAGATCACTTAAGCACTATATGTGACACTTTGATCGGAAATAGCTGTCCTGAAAAATTTATCAAGAAACACACGACAAAGAATGCGGAAAAGGATTACTCACTATCCATAAACAAGTAGCCTCTTTATATGCGACTTAGATTCAAGGGCAATATAGGAGGTGGAATAATTACGAACAAATTAAGAAAATCAGTTCAAAGAACTACTGATGTTGGCGAACTTCACGTTTGATTCTCTACACGACCGATGTTGATTCCTCGACTGAGAGATTAAGTGCCTAGACTAGCCACTTCCAATTGTATCTACCAATTCACCTGTGCTTGTGGAGCGAGTTATTTTGTCCGTTGCTCTAGGAACTTGATTTTTCGTGCTCGCTCGAGAGCATCTCTCACTATGGCTAAGTAAAGATGTAGTGGGAACCATCAACACTTCAATTTGAGACCATTTGGTTCAAACCGGCCATAAAGACAACGTGGAAGAATCCTTCTCTATAATCTATCGGGTGCTTAATAAACTGCCAAAAACATCGAAGCACCGCATACTCTAAACAGCAGAGGCTTTTTCGATTTGCCTAAAACAACCAGTGCTCTGTGTGCAAAAGAAGCAAGTCCAGGCAGCCACTACAACTGCCCTGGCTGGCCTTCAGTGGAGACTATAAATTCACGCATGAATTTGTATTATTATCTTTCCTAATTTTTCTGACATTCAGTTTATTGTTACGTTGATGCTATTGAGCTGTAATCTATCAATATTATTGATTCGATGTCATTTAAACAACATTATTATTGTTCAAAGCACTAATTCATTCATTCAATATTATGTGTATAAATAACTGTGGAGCCTGATGATGAAAGCGTTATCGGAAAGAGTATTCTTTGTCCAGTATCCATTCATTTCTATTCACAAATATTTGAGTAACTAAGTAACGTTTTAAAATAAAAAGAGGGCTAACTAATAATAAATAAATACTTAACTCACTTTTAATTCACTTCTGCGTTTCTCTGCTTCCGTCATATTTGCTGAATTATTATCATGAGGTGTTAGTTGATTATTACTGTTATTATTATTATTATTGCTCTCAGATTTTTCATTAGCTCTGGAAGCCATACGACGACTCCCATGTTTACTACCACCACCAACACTACTATGTCCTGATTCATTCAACAATGCTTCACTTCTTTCTCTCACATTCCTATGACCTTTACGACGTGAACGTGATTGAGCTTTCTCATGAAGAAATAAACTACCTGGCATATAAAATGCTGTATTCTCACCACCACGTAATTTATAATGTGGTTGAGAATTTCTAGGTATAGTCCAATATTCAAATGGACCGCCATTTCCACCGCCTGTAGTACCACCACCACCTGTTGATCCATTCCCGTTACTATGGAATCCATTCACTGTATGTGAGGCATCATTTCTTACAAGGTAATTACCACGTGTATAGGGTTGTAGGGATTTTGGCAATGGTGGACGTGGGGAGACAGATAGAACATATTCCTTGGATTTACTTGGTTTTAACACTTTCCAGTTATTGTTACTGTTGGTGTTGTTAGACAATGCTAGATTCTTATTCGATCGTTGTTTATAGGATAAATCAATCACTTGATTGTCTCTTTTTAACGGGATATTGATTTGAGTTCGTGTATATGGGGGATAAGATAACGAATCATCGGTTATGTCCATTTCATTTATTAATTGTCCATCACCGACACTATAATCATCAATATCATCAATCACTTCATCATTTTCTCCATCGATATGATCATGATAATTATTCATATTTGAAGAATTAGTATTATTATTATTACTATCATTGTTTTCTATATCATCACTACGATATATATGAATAACACCGTTAGAATGTGGAATTTTCTTTCTCATTGATATACGTGTATTAAATGTTTTATCAGATTCTATACTTTGTGAGTCAATTTCATGCACTGTACTTAAATCATGATGTATGCCATCTTCATCATCATCATCATCGTCGATATCATCAATATGCTCAGAATTATCATCTATATAACCTTCATTGTTTACAATAACAACTGTGTCATTGTCTTCACCATCCCCATCAGTATGAGCATCACCAATGTTAACAATGTTGAATGGTTGATTTTTAAAGGAATTTTTTGCAACTAATAATTGTGCTGCTTCATTCGCTAGCATTGGTCGTGATACACTCTCTGTCATTATTCACTTAATTAACTAGATTGGTATAGTTTTGTTTTGTGTTTGTTCTTTCTGCTGTAGTTGTTGTTGTTGCTGCTGCTGTTTTCACTCTCTCTCTCTCTCCTTTTCACCGTTGTTACTGGTGTTGTTGTTGTTGTTAGTACAACCTCAATACATTAACCCCCTTTTTGGTTAACAATATTAATAATATTGTATTATTAGTTGAAGCGTGTCATTACTGACGCTTCTTGCTCTCTCTATCTTTCTCGCTGGCTTATTACACACACACACACTAAATACTACCAATCTCTTTTAGTGTCCAACATTCCGTTCTTTTGTTGATAATCTCTGTGCTAACTAACAGTTTACCACTCACCACTGTTTTATGCGTGGGTGGATAATAAATACAAATACTTTTATCATCAATATTATTATTAATATCATCGTCTTATTAGCACGATCCAATAACAACCAATCAAAATAGTTTGACCTTGGCGAACCAAACAATCTGCATTTTGATTGGTAGAATAATAAACACGACTATGAGTAAGTATGCATTACAAAATTGTAAAGTACTTTCTAATTCTTACTCTAATTACCTACCTACCTAACTTCTTTTTTTTGCTTTTCTTTTCTTTTCATAATCAAAACTTATAATAAGAAGAATGTTACATATATATGCATATATAATTATGCATATTAAATTTTTATTGATTTTTATGGGTATACTTTAAAAGGACATACTAAGAAAGAAGAAGTAAACAATTAGTGCACAATTTTAAATGAGGTAAAAAATATATAAAAATAAAGAATTGTGTATATTATATTAGAGAGTTCATTGAAATGCTTTCACACATTCATCACATAACTTTCTGTCTAAGCAGTGAACAGAGAAAGTAAGACAAAATAAACAAAATAATGATAATTAGCACAAATTACCTTAAGTCATTTCTAAATATTCTCAAAACATTCACTATATGATTATACTCTATTTGTTACTGTAAATGACTCAATAAGCTGAGTTCCTGAAGAATCACTGCTTATCTAGATCACTGAGAAAAGCCTTCTTTTTCGTGGTTGAGCGATGGATTAATTTCTACAGCCGACAAATGATCAATGGATGTGTGAAAGATAAACTGGCACTTTGCGCCACTTCAATATGTGTGTTTATAAATTCAACTGCAGATTTGGGTCTAGTTATTTTGGCCTAACAAGGCGACCGTACACTTTCCAAACGCATCTCTCAACATTATCTGGCATGGTAAGCAGAAGGACAATGCAAGACAATTGCTGACTAAATTCTCGAGCACTTGGTGAACTCAAGTCACGTAGCTCCGGCAGAGTCGCATTTCAAGATCATCAACAAGGTTAGGCAAAATTGTACAAAGGCCTTCAGGTTTCGGCTTTTGCGTATGACGGAGGCGTTGGCAATTCGTCAATACAATCCCGAACTCTGTGTGTACAGAAAACGTTTGTCCAGTCTCTTATTCTACTTTGGTCTTAACCTTTTCAATAATCGTTTCCTGTAAAAAAAATTTGGCTTTATCTTCTATTTTTAATTCTACGTTTAGTTTGCTTGCGCTTTAATAACTTTTCTCCTTCACGTTCCCCAGTGGAACATAAGGCTTCAAGCTAGTGGCTTGAAGTCTCTGTAACAGTGTTTATATTGCAAAATGAAGATGTTAGCCTCATGGCCAACTTTTCCTCTTTACCAGTCTTACTGCTGGCTTAGCGAGGTAAAGGAGTGCTTCTGTAGCCGGGGATCGAACCCTGGACCGTGTGCATGGTCGGTGAGCGTCCTAAACGCTGTTTCACCGACGCACGCTTTAATAATTAATTCACTATTATCACTCTCTCACATGTTCCTTTTTTTACATTTTCACACTCTCTTCAAAATTGTTGAACTGGACACTCAACTACCACCTTTATTCTCACTCAACAACATTTTTAACCTTATCAAATTTCTAACTTTGTGACGTTGAGTACCACGTAATTTACAACTTTATTTCTTACTTCTAAAGCCACTTCCGAGTAATTATATCGATTATGTCTCCCCCTATTACTCAATAATAGACTACTAAAACATTTTTGGTAAGTACAAATATGACTGTAAAGCACAGCCTGTGAAAATGATTTCGTCAATGAAGAAAATTTTCTTCGCTGAATTTTGTTTTTTATATATTTGTTTCCCTCATGACACAACGGGTATTTTCGGTGATATACAAGTCATGGAAACTTCCAATTGCAACACATAGAAAATCAAAACAAGTGATTTACCGATTAGACTATTTTCAACGAATTTATTATCAAGCTGTACAATCGTATATATAAAGTTTTTTAAGAAGTTATATCAAATGGGCGAGGGAATGGAATCATAGGTGTCAATGCATCAAATAATAATAATAGTAGTAGTATGAAATGCAATTAAAACTTAAATGTTTTGTGATTATAATCATAGTTAAATGTTAAGTGGCAAAGCAGATTAATGTCATATATAGAATAATTCATAGGATGGATAGAACTTGAAAAAGGGTGTGCAATTATAGGATTAGTAGACAAATCGAATAAAACGAAAACGTTACGTAATATTGTGTGAAATTTAATACCATAGAATTTAACGTTGTAAAAAAAAGAATTGTTTTAGAATGACAAGAGGAACAAGTGAAATAATACTGGGGACAGTTAAAAGTGAGAATACTAATAGTAACAATTGACGTGATAAAGGAAGAGCATGCAAACTGTATAGAAAAAATGAAAAATTGGTAGAGCTAAAATATGATTAGGGATTATCATACTTTAGCATAGAGGGATTAAGACCATGAAAGTTGGAAGGGTTGAACGAACTTTTTCTGTACACACAGATCTGACTTTTGTGTTTCGATAGCCAAAGCCGACTCATCTGTATTGCTGAAGCTTTGCCACCGCTATGGTACCGATGCATGAATTATTTTATATATGACATTAATTTACTTTGCCACTTGACATTTAACTATGATTATAATCACAAACATTTTAGTTTTAATTGCACTTCATACTACTATTACTATTATTTTATGCATTCACACCTATGATTCAAGTCCCTCACCGGATATAACTTCTTAAACCCATATATATATATATATATATACGATTTTACAGCTTGATAATAAATTCGTTGAAAAGAGTCTAATCGCTGAATCACTTGTTTTGATTTTCTATATACAAGTCACTATATTGGAGAATATACAAGTGCTGTTATTATCCTTTTATAGTATATTGATTTAGTTTGTAGAGATCTGATTTGTTTCAAGTTTGATCATAGCTTGATATGAGTTAGAAAATCATTGGGGAACTACCACGTAGTGAGTACTGGACAGCTGATTCCAGTACAACAGGGTTAGAACCCGTGAACTTATGGTTACAAGAAAAGCTCTACAGTTTAAAACTTGAAAAGTAATCTGACTGGCTACATTTGGAAGAAGTTGCATGGAGTTGTTGTGCCAGGCTGTAACCACTGGGGTCCACCATAAGGTCGGGAGTGGGGACAAATACTCGGCGACGATATTAACTGGTGGTTATGCTGAAATCACGAATGAGTAGAAGATAGAAACCATGTATTGACCATTGAGTCGGTCTCTAGTGACTGAACTGTATACAAGCTTCTCTTTTAACTGTTAGGTATCGGGTGTGAACTGCTGCAGAGTCACTAATTAGGTTGAGACAGCCATCCAGCACTCCTTAGTTTTCCAGTGGATTTTCAACTGATATCAACCATCAACGTAAATAATTTTTAATTTTATTATAATTCAGTGCGTGACTACATAGAGAGACAAGATGAAGGTTCCCTGTCAGTGGATAAAGGTCGCTACAGATATCTCAACATACACACTTCTGCTGGTGTCAACTTCTGCAGTCAATATTATTTCAATAACCACTGTACTGTTGTACTGTCGTGTAAAAAAGGAAGATCAGAGGCCAGCTAACTTTCTAAAAGTTGTAATAACTATGACTTAAAATCCATAGGTCATACAAGTAGATTGCGGTTAGTTAGACTGTTGAAGGATAGAAATTTAGCCACACCTAGAATGATTGATCTTGCTAATTCAAACAACTTAGTTAAATAGCTCAACTATCGCAAGGCACTCATTTGGATAATGTCACATAACATGGAGGGAAAGGGTAAAAGTAGTAAATATTATTATGGTTATTATTATTATTATATCCATTAGTTCCTAGAGGAACATAGGGCTTCAGCTGCGCACCTCCATTGCCTTCTGTTTTCTGCCAACTTTTTCACCCCGCTCCAAGTCTGTCCACATGCTTTCATCTCCTCCTCACATAACCTCCTCCAAGTCACCCTTGCACTGACGATCAACTCGCCACCCACTTCCCTTTCGGCCAGGCTCCACTCGAGCAATGGCTTGTCTAGTGATGTCACTTGATGGTTTCCTCAGAGTATGGCCAGCCAATTCATCTCCATTTCTTCTTGTCCATTTGTTTCACAATCGGTTCCTGCTGTGTTGGTTCGCTCATTGCCAGAGATCCCTGTTGCTGATATTTTCTGGTCGGGCATCTGATCTTGAATATTGAGCAAAGGCAACTGTTAGTGAAGGTCTGAAGTTTGTTTGAGGTGCTCTTTATGACTCGCCAAGTCTCTGATCCGAACAGTAGCACTGAATTTACACTAAAGTTGAAAATCTGGATCTTATTTTTGATGCTGAGTGCTGTTGACCTTCACGCAGACTTGAAAGCAATGAAAGCTTGCCTTGCTTCTCCGATTCTGGCTTTGATATCCTCGTCAGTTCCACCTGTAGTTGAAACGATGCTTCCCAGGTAGGTAGGTAGGTAAAGGAGGTTGTTCCTTTCAGGTTCCTCTCATTTATGCTGATTGTCGTCTGTTATTGTTGTTGCTGTTTGTGTTGGCTAGGAATCTTCATCACCTCTGTTTTCTCTATGTTCACTTGAAGTCCTATCTTTGATGCTTCTTCTGCCACCTTGTTGCTTTTCACTTGCATATCTTCCAGTTTGTGGGAAATCAGACATATATCATCATCGGCGAAGTCCAGGTCCTCCACGTTTTTTGTGTGAGTTCATTTTATGCCTGTTTCCTCATTGCCCACTAGCTGTCTGTCGCATTATTCAATCTACTGCAATCAGGAAAATCATTGGCGATAGTAGGCAGCCTTATCTCACTTCCGTCCTCACTTCGAAGGCCTCCGTAAGTTTCCCATTGTGGATTACTTGGTATGCAGCATTGTCGTATAACTGGCGGATGAGATGTATGATTGTCGATGGCACCCCGTAGTAGCGAAGTAGTTGCCAAATGACTTCTCGGTCGACAGTCTGTCGAAGGCCTTTTCAAAGTCGATGAAGTTAATATAGAGAGGTGACTGCCATTTCAAGCTTTTGATGTGGTTTTGTTCTCTGAG